CTTTCCTTGAATTTTTAATTTTATTATTCTCTCACCTATTCAGTACTTAATGACTATCAAGCTCCATGCTAAGCAAATAGATTTTTATTTTCATTTGTGAGAAATACTCTCTTAATAAAGCTCTGTCCTGATACATATACTGGTGATTTTGTAAGTTAATGCTTCTCACATAATCCATAAAGCAGTATTTTGCAAGTTAGTTCCAGAAATAAATCAACAAAAAGATACATTGACAATTTAAGAATAATGACACCGTCAGATATATTATTTTCTAAATTTTCATATATATCTGGCAACTTTGTAAATGTTTTTAAACACTACTGGATTGTAGAAAATAAGAACAGAGAAAGCAAACATACTCCCCTATCTTATTATACCTCCTATTATAGTAGGCTCTTCCTCCTTAGTCAAAGAATCTTTTTTCAGTACTGGGGATCCAACTTGGGACCTTGTGCTTGCCAGGCAGGCACTTATACCTGCTGAGCTACCTCCCCAGCCTTGTCAAAGAATTCTAATTCCTGATTTTGAAAATATTACAGAAGCAACGGACGCTGTGGGGCTTCAAGGCAAAAGCCTTAGCAAACAAATTGCTGAACCAGAAACTAGAGTTTCAGGTTTGTTCGTTTTTCCTGTATAGGGCCCACAGGGTCTCACTACTAGATCAGACTCAGTGATTCTCCTGTTTTCAGTGCCACCGCGCCCAGTCTCAATCACCATCTCAGCGCGCCGCGCGGGCAGGGCCGGCCGGCACGCCCAGGAGCTAACCCTAGGGAGCTAACCCTAGCCACTGCGCTCTGCCGAAGCAGGCGCTTTAGTCTGCTGAGCTATTTATTGGGGCGGCCCTCCAGAGTTTCAGTTTTAAACTTCAAATTATTTTTCAAATTCTCAAGAGTATCTATGATTTTAAAAATTACAGTTTAGAAACTACATAAAACTAATACATAAGAGAAACATGGTAAAAGATAAGTAAATAATAAATAGGTCAAATTGATATGTAACATTTAAAGGTCACCTTTTCAATCTGCTGAACAACCACTGCTGCGATCCTATCAAGTAGCGAAGCACTGAGGTAGTTAGTTCTAGAAATAAAAGTTGCAATGTTTGCAACATTTGTGTAATTAATTTCATCCTTCAAACGCAGCAAAGCGACAATTGTGTCTTCCAGAACCGATTCGTGAAACCAGTCTCCTTTTACAAATTTAAGCTCCTCCCATAAAAGAGGTAAACTGTTGCTCTGTTGTAACCTCTGACGGCCACAGTGATCTAGTTTTTGAAGTAGCTTCAGTTGTTTCCCAGTAACTCTGCCCGAATACATGTGATCATCCTCAACCCATTTTAAAACAGACGTGGCACAATCGGTCAGGCCTCTGAGGTCACACTGGGGTAACAGTGCTTCAACCCGGGACAGCACGGCTTCATCCGAGTGGGTGGATGGGAGCATGGAGAGCGCGCGGAGCAGGCTGATGGTGTTGCGCAGGTGGATGCTGCCCTCCAAGGAACTAGAAGGCAAGCAGAGGAGAGGAAAACAACAGACCCGCAGCAAAACCATATCCATAAAGTGGTGCGCTCAGACAGCGATTGAGACTGGGCGTGGTGGCGCGCGCCCGTAATCCCAGAGTTTGGGAGGCTGTTGTTATAACCTATGTAACCGTCCCCATTTTTGTAACTAGAACAGCTATTTTGTTATACAACTCTGTATGTTTCTGTTATAACCTATGAGACTGACTCCATTTGTAACCAGAATAGCCATTCTGTTATACACCTCTGTATGTTTCCACTGTAACTTTATTAACGAGGACAGTTTGGCATAAGCTGACAA